CAAAAGTGATATAAAAATGACAAGTTGGCATTCTAGCTCTGAACTTCATTGTGATCTGCATTCCTCTTTGTGTCTTGTTCTTTCATCTTTTATAGGTATGAAAGATTTGAACAATTTTCCTGCTAGGGCTAAGGGAAATAATGTTGTATTGCTGTTAAAGCCGGTCATTATTCATGTATAAACAGCTCAATTACTGTTTCTCATATCCAATTTTTGAATAAAATATTGATGATGACATATAAATAACTTGTCATGACTTAGCAGAAGCTCTACAAAGCTATTAGAGAAATAAATTGCGAAACTGAGGTACATTCAATAACTGTGTCAAGTGAAAGTCAATATATACAGTTCAGCTGAGGTTTTCTCAGTTTGAATCCTTCTAGGAAGTTCATGTTAACAAAAATCTTGGACACGTTGTCTCCTGATGGCGTGTGATCATGGAAGGGCTGTGATCCTGGGCAGATTCATGAGGCTGAAATTGGAAGACCTTCAAAGTAAGACTGGAACTGGCCTCACTGTGAGTTCAGAGAACAACTCTTGATTCTTACGCTATAATATCAGCGCACAAGCAAGAAGCAACGCTTCTACTTTTAATGTAGAATAGGTCTGAATACTTTAATACTCTTACATGAAAAGGGAAGACTGCCAAAACACCCAAACAATTCAGTAGCCAAAGGAAAACAATTGTTTTGTCTTTGGCTATGAAACAGCAACTATACGGTTAAGTCTTTATAATTTCGTAACCCATGTTAGTACATCTGTAACTTTATTTGCCTTGTAAAGAAACTGGATGCTGTTTTCTCTCTTCTGATCTTTTCTTTTATTTTCTTAGGGCCTTGTCATGAAAGCCACTTTAATCTTCGTAGATAAATCTTCAGGTTTGTGGATTTTTTTTTCTCTTAAGACCTCAGCTGCCTTAAGTCTTTCCATTTCATCATTAAATTTTTTTCGGCAATCTGAAGCCCTATTTATAAATGGATATGATTAAGATTAGGCTATAATAAGTGCTAATCTTTTCCTCCAACTAGGGAGATAAAGCCTATCTTAAACCTGGATGGCTTAAGACAAGTTTTGTTTCTTTATCTGTACAAAGTGAACAAATAAAACACTATCCAGCAGCTGTATTCACAGGAAGCACTGAAGATAATCCCTTCCATTTATTATTGCAAAGTGTTTTTCTTTTTAGGCATCTACCTGCTCAACTTTCAGATGTGTAGGCTGTCAATTACAGAGCTGAAACTTGCTAATGAAAACTGAAAGTCACCTGATCTGTCACCAAGGCCAATATTTGGCTCTTTTTTTTAAATATTTCTGATTGAATTTGAGGTGAACAGGGACAATAGCAGCACCAGTATTTTTCCTTCAAGGCATTTATAAGCAGAAATCAATCACCTCATCTTTGCACCACTCCTTCAGGTGAATGATCTGTCTTCTTATCAGGTAAGCCCAGATGCTTTGGTGTGCATCCCTCTCTGCAGTTCTCAGTTCAGTTCTATGAGTGCCTAGAAGAACCCAAGGCTTTTAGTCCAACAAGGGCTTCTGACTAAGCAAAGCAACCCCAATTGGTGCAGAATGCTAAAGAATCATCGAACATGATAACGTAACCCTGGAGTTCCGGGGAGCCTGAAGGGCAGTTTTGAAAGCAAACCTAACACATCGTAGAGTCTTTGACCTCAAGATTTTTATAGAAGGACAGGTTGAAATGCTGAAATGAGCATTTTATGACATGGAACAATAGCTTTGGCACACAGACCACAGGAGTCATCTACCCCCTGGATAACTTTGGTATTTCCTCACTGCCTTCCTTGAAGATGCCCAATGCCTGTTTGTTCTTCTGAGCAGATTTAACCAGCCCTTGTGCATCAAGCAAAGGGGATTATGCTGTTTAGGAGTTAGCGTGCATTTAAATAGCTTTAATACTCCAGACCATCTTAAATGGGATCTGATGTAAGGAACCATGCTTCACAGCTGGTTGATTGGTGCCTTTCATTCTCCCTATCGATCTGCAGCCAAAAACACTGATGGAAGAACAAAATTCTTGCTGTATGATGAAGCAGAGCAAGTAATTCATACCTAATAACTAACCTGATCTCCTGAAGACTGCAAGTACCCTGCTTTTATTGGAAGTGTATTAGTAGTACACGGTCAGGTAAATCAAATGATTTCCATTTCCTGCCTGAGCATGAGACCAAGCTGTTCCAAAGCAAATTTAAAGTTCATTTCCTGCAAATATGGGTATATGAGATTTTAAAACTAGCTTTTCATTCATGAAAATGGGATTTGAATGACATGAACGTTAGTGGAAAGCAAAAAAAAAAAAAGTTTGAGAGAAAACAAAAAGATCCTTTCCTCATTTTCATTATTCACCTATTAACTCATTGCTCCCTGGCCCCACAAAGCCTGAGGTCTTAAGTCTTGTACCTTGCCTTCACAGAGAGCAGTGTCTCCCTGTTGTTTTATCAGCCTCTGCTGTAGGCACACAGTGCTACAGCCACCGCAGACCGAGGCAGGATGGGCAGGGTGACTTTACTGAAGCAGAGCCTGCTCCCCTCCTTGGCAGCTTTCCCTGCAGCCCACCTCTGTACTGGCACACAGCTGCACACAGTGACTCACCTCCTTTGGGAATGCAGGAAGCTGGCTGGAAGTAAAATTGGCCAAATCAAGCCTGAGGGCCACAGAGCACTTAACATTCATCTGTCTCAAGGGCTGAGCCTTATTAGTGGCATGAAAATGTGGTCAGAGAACGTGATCTTGGAATAGCTTATGTTGGAGGGGACCCTTAAAGATCAGCTAGTTCCAACCCCCTGCCACGGGCAGGGTTGCCAGCCATAGACCAGGCTGCTCAGGGTCCCATCCAACCTGGCCTTGAATGCCTCCAGAGATGGGGCATCCACGACCTCTCTCGGCAGCCTGTGCCAATGCCTCATCACCCTCTGATAAAAACGTGATACAGGGAGCTGACTAGGGAGGCCCCAATAACTGACAGGCTCAACCCATAAATTGCCCAGAACTAAACTGAACAGACCTCCTTAATTCCCCATTTCATTTGCCAGCTTTTTCTGCCTCTGCAAAGAGGGACTTAGTCATATGTACCCTCCCTGAAGTTACAAGATGAACCATTTAAAAATGACTGAGTTTTGGAGTTTCACAGACCTGATCCAATGACAGCTGCTTCCAATTATTACAGAAGAATAATCATTACTATTATTACTTTGAATCTGTTGCTCGAAATAAATTTAAGGGTCTGCAAATCAAAATAGGAATATGACCCTATAATTCAATCTTGGTAAAGTTATTTTGTCTCTGTGCTCAGGTGTTCTTTCTAATTGTAGCTTTAAATACACAGGTTCAAAAACACTGCTTTGAATGACTATAATATGGAACTGAATAGACAAAATCTACAAAGCTAACAAACCTGGTTTCACCTGTTGAGAAGATCAATGTGGGACGAAAGGTAGTTAATGGCAACAGGAAAAACCTTGAGAAACACAGAAGGTTTATAACTTACAGCACAACTCCACCAGATGGATTTTAGTTGAATTTCAGCTTCTTTATAAACTTTATATTTACTTTCAAGAAAAGCGACTCTAAGAGAAATTATTCGCTCACCCCTTTATTGTATGTGATCTGCATTTGTGAAAGTTGATTGCAGAAATATGAAATTACATTTGATGATGAAAATCAGGTCGAAGTATAGAAATGAAGAATAGAACTGAAAACCAGAAATGACACACAAAATAGCTGAAACTTAAATCCTTTAATTATAAATACGGTGATGTGCAGAATGCCAGCATCAGACTCTGCATTACTTCATCTCTCATGTGTATAAATCTAACAGCTCAAGTCTCAAATAAAACAGGCTTTTGACACTCTTCCAGCTACAGCACTTGACCCAAAGCCCACAAAGTCACCATGAATCACTGAAGTTTTGGAAGTAAAATGCCAATTTTTCTGGGAAAAAAGAAAGAATCTTTCATATCAGCTAAAAGCATCGCATTTTTCCTAGAGGAGACTTTGAAATTACAAGTAATCTTAAGCACTGTAGCAATGAATGAGATGCAGTTTATCCAGAACAGCATTAATATTGCATTCTTTAAAGATAAGAACCTACTGGCAACTGAAAGAGGAGATGTGATATGAAGTCCTGCATTTAGGTGGCTATATATGACAGGTTTTCCCTACAGGAAAGAATACGTTTAAATGCTAAAACAGATGCTTTCTCAGTGATGAGGGAACCCCAGTTGGCCGCCATGTTGGCCACCCTGTTGCGTGGTCTTTAGAAATATTTTCTTAAAGCAAACAATAATTTATTTCTCCCTTTTCATCAGAACATCTCCATTGAAACGTCTGCGATGTTGTTTTAGAGCTGAGAGTATTAGGACACATTGTTTTTTTTAGATTTACACGTATTATACAAACTGCAATTCTTTCTCAAGATCAAAAAAGGCACGCGTGTTTCCACAGGCTCTCAACACAAACTGCCTGTCAGGGTAATATCTTGAAAACTGTGCTGTAACCAGGATGATGAAAGAAAATTACTGGCAGGCAGATTATACAGCTGTGTAACTTATTTAGTGCCTCCCAGCCTGAATGCCTATGGGACAGATGCAAATTCTCCAACTGAAGCACACCTCAGAGCACATGCACTTCTAACAGACAGCGGCTCGCGCTTATTAAGCTTGGTTTGGGTCGTAAGCACAGCGTGCTTTTGCCTCAAATGACAGCTTCTCCCCAAAGACTCTTTTTTTTTTTTCTCCCCATCCATTACGAATAAGGATCTGGCCGCTGATATTAAAGGTCTAGGCTCGGAGCAAACAAACCGAAAGACGTGATGGATTAAAACACGATTATCCTGTCACTCATTGTAGACACACAACACAGACACCCGTCGCTTTAACCACAACCCCCCCCCGGCCGCAAGAAGTGCTCTCACCCCACACGGCTGTTCCGCCTCCTCTCCCCGCGGCGTGGAATGGACTCTCCCGCGCAGCCCGCCCCTGGTGAGGTAACGCGTCGCTGTTGCTATGGAAACGGCTGTGGCGTCGCCGCTGCTGGAGCCGTTGGGACGGCTGAGGCGGGATCTTCCTTCCCGCCTTGTGCCCAGGTTCCGGCGTGAGATCCGTGTTGGTGGGCGTTCGATGCAGGTTGTGATACGTGCTGTAGTCAGCCTTTGGATTCTATGGGTTTATTAATGTCAGAAAGCTTGTCCGGATGTTGTCTGTTCCCTGTGGTTTGAAACAAACTGCTGTGGTCTCGTCTGTTTCGTGCTAAACTCCACGAGCTGCGATCGTCTCGTCCATTTTGAAGCTGTTAAGCTGTCCTTCAATGGATGAGGAGGACATTTCAGCCAGCAGTAACCAGTTCAGTTTGCTTTTAGGTTCTCCTCCACCAGCTGCTAGTAATCACTGACCCGTGTCAATCCCTCAACTGAGATATCATTGAGATGCACTTTAATTGCACTAATGCTTATTTTCAGGTTTGTGTGAACAGACAGCTGAACTTTAGCTCTTGAGCTCAGTTACCCATTCAATGTTTCTGAAATAGCTTCTCCGCAGCACTGAAGTCCTGCTTTTAGCTGGAATCTATCAACCAACAGCTGAAGAACCAAAGGTTTGTCATCTGTAAGTCTTTGCTGCTGTGCTTGCAATCAGCTGCTGGCGTGCTCCTTCAGCAGCCTGCTTAGCCTGTGTTAGTTACACTGCAAATGTTTTAGAGCAGGGATGGATGTTAGGCTTTTGTTTGGTCTTCTTGCTGTATAAACTTGCCTGTTGGAAGAGTCCTTACCCCAGTATGGAAATGCTGAGAGTAGGGAATAACTACTCTGCAAGTTACCTTCCCATTTTGAAACAATTTGGGTGGGACTGAAGACATTTATCATTATTCATATATGAAGACGTTTATCATTACAAATCAGCTGAAACAGTTTGACTTTGTAGGCGTTGATACTGTTTTCTCCTCAGTGCTTGGGTGTCCTTCCAGAAAAATGTATTTCACTGTGTATTAAGCTACTTTCTTTGAACTTCAGGGAATTGCCCACATGAAACTGAAAAGTAAGTTTTTTCCCCGGTATCATGAATGTAACAAGCTTTTCTTTCAACTAAATATAATCTAGAGTTGTTTTAGGTTTTTAGTGGCACCATACAAACCACTTCCACTCTGCATTTCTCTTTCCATGCACTGGTATTTCTTGGCTTTCTAACAATTTTTTTACTGTTTTTAATTTCAATCAAATGAACATCTCATAAGGTTTCTCACTGTAGATGATGCAAATTCTCTCTCTCTCTTTTTATTTTTTATTTTTCTAAATTTTTTTTATTTTTTTAGGAACAGATAATACTGGGAACCATGAACAAAAATAATTTTGTGATACTCCCAGGTTCAAAAAGTGGAACCTCTGTGAGATTAAAATCAAAGTAAGTTCATTTTATCTGACTGTGACTGAAATGTTGTATCAGCATTTTTATTAAGTTGTTCAAGAACTGTTAGGTGGAACAGCTTATGTGTGTGCAAATGAAACACAGACAGAGTTGGATTAGTTTTAGATTAACAAGATAAGCTTATACTGGAGAAGCCTTATCGCTACAAAAACAAAGAAACAGCATTAACAAACCGTAAATATCTTCATGTTGTCTTCTGATCTGAGGCCTTTCAGGTCTTATGAGAGTAAAAACCTGCAGTTTACTGGAGAGAACTGGAATCTCTGGATCTTCAGAATGCTGCTTCTTTCAGTAAAGCCCGCTATGATAGGGCAGTCTTGGTTGTGAGAAGGTTGTTCTTGACTTGCAGTTAATTTTGCAGAGCAGTTTTCAGTCTTACTAGAGACAGAGGGGTAACCTGCCTTTTCTTTTCCTTGCTGCTTTAGTGTCTTTCAGATGTCTTAATGTATTTCATGTAGTTCCTATTGTATATTTTACTACTGTAATTTCTCTAGAACTGTCAGAGAGTTGCAACTGGAGAAAATACAGTTGGAAATGGAAAACAAAGAGGTGGAGAAGAAATTACGACAACTGCAGTCCAACATGAGCAGAGAAAAAGAGGAGAGAAAGTAGGTGACGTTTCTGGGTGCAGACCCTGCAGTCAGTTAGCATACTACAGTCTATACTAATAGCAATATGAACAGAAATGATGAAAAGTATATGGCAGTAAGAAAAAATGTGGTGAAATATTCAACGTGCTCTTGACCTTTTCTTCTGGGGAACCTGTTGCTGCTGTTCTCAGCTGGTCCGTAGAGAGAGTTTTCCCTTTCCTTTTCCATCTTCCTTCTTGATTTATTTTATTTTTATCCCCTAAAATAAACAGTAATCTGTTCTGTTAGAGTTAGTACATGTTTAATAAGCTCTTTCTTGCCTTCATTCATAGGAAATCAAGTGCTTATCATTGGAAGTCTGGACAAGCAGGAGCAATGACTGTCCAAGCCCGACTTTTATCACAAAACAAAGAAAAAATCAAGAAGGTAATAAGCTATCAACATATTTGCAAATAATGCTATTTAAAATGAGAGATTTAGGTGATTTGTGCTACGAAATATGGGAATTTTAAATACAGCAGGAATAAAAAGCTGAGTAATTCTGAGTAAAATTTGTGTTTCCTTTTGAACTAGAGGAACATCAAGCTCTGCCTAGCCATCTGTTGTTTTTTTAATTGCAGTAGATACTAGATTGGTAAAAGCAGTGCTAATTTGCTGTTGTGAGAGTCCAATTTGGTATAGCTGGAAGTCATCATAAACCTGCTGTAATAAGTCTATGGCACTGTGTCTTGAGTAACTTGAGCTGAGAAAGTTCTTTCCAATATTTGTACTCTAATACATTAGTATGTATATATATATGTCAGCACTCTTTCCTGTAGGTTTCTTCAGGAAAAGTGAAGTTGCAGCTACTGAAAGAACCACTTCAAGGTAATGGTTTCTTTATTAACTTAATTAAGAACCCACTAACTTCTGGCAGAGTATCGGGTTCTTGAAGGTTGCTGCGATTAAGCAGTAAAGAATAAATCACAGATTGTGGTAGCAGGTTATTTGGTTTTGTTATTTTTCCCCAGTGCCAAAGAAAGAACCATTTAAGCATGAAATGTCAAATAATGGAGCTCATGAAAAAACTGAAGCAAAGGAGATGGTTTCTCCTCGTCCACATACTAAGAATGCAGGGCTGGTAAGTATGTGGTATAAAAGGTATCAGTAGGATACGTGCATATAAAAGCTTTGTAACAGTATCTAGGCATGATTATGTGGTACAGTATATAGGAAAAGTGTGTGGCCTACAGGAAGGAGTCTGGCATAGGTCTCTTCAGTGAACTCCACATGTGGAGATACAGAAGTGCACTCTTAAAACACACATTCAAGTCTGAATGTTAGTTTTTGTCTTGTGCTAGCTTTTCTGTGCAGTGCTGTTGTATTGCAGTCAGTGGAAGTGTGTTCCCTCTGCCTCCCTTCTTGGAGAGGAAGGAGGAATGTATTTTAATGATGCTTTTGCCACTGGGAAATGGTAACATCTAGGAACTGAGTCGAACTTTCAGCCTTAGTTTTTCTAGCAAATACGAGATTTTTATACATATTTTACACTTTATTCAGCTGCTGGGAATAGTAAGTCATTTAGGGGCTGCTTGCTTCACTGGGATGGTCCACATGAGATGCCAAGTTAAAACTATTAGGTGCACAGTAACTTACAAACAGGAGGAAAAAAAATAGGTATCTAAGACTATTTTGAACCAACTTTAAATGATCTGACTTAACTGGAATGGAATTCTTATAGTAATAGGGTTTTTCCACCTGTTTGTGTGAATATGTTGGTAGTGTTCTACACGATGACATCCTCTTCAATTCAATGATTGCTTTCAATGATAACAGCTCAGTACACCTTAAGTAAAGGAAGTCTTTACTGTTGATCTCCAGGAGTGGCAGAGATAAATAACTCTCTTATCAGGTCTTTAACGTCGGGCTTCCCCACGCTGTGTTTTCATTGTTTGGCCCAGCAGTGTGCATGTGGCTGAGGAAGACTTGAGATTGCTGCGATGGAAGCAAGCTGAATGGTTGCAGGCAAATAGCGTGTATTCAATAGTCTGTGCATATGTTGTACTTCTAAATACTTCGTACTTAAATTCTTAGATAAGCAGGATGCGTTGATAATTCTGTCTGCTTTCTGAACTCGGGCTTGCTGGCAAAGTTACACTGGAAATCATCATTATGAACGATGAGCTTGTGTGTGTCTTTTAGCAAAGGCAAGCAGGAAGCCTACCCTCCAAAACTCCTCTGAACATTACCTGGCATCAGAACCACCTGCGTTTTGCTTCTCTTAGCGCTCAGCTGGAATTCATTCATTCCCCTCCTGTTCAGTGCGGTGACCGCCTGGGGACACCGGTTGTCCCCGAGATCACCGCCAGGGGGCGCTGCTGCTCCACAACGGCTCCAGGCGGGGCAGCGGGTCCGGCCGCGATTCGCGGCTGCTCTGCGAGCCTCTGTGACTGCGGGTTATTGGATTGCTGTTCGGCACGCTTGTGTGAACTCTTCTCACTCTGTTGATTGTTGACGTTAGTGTGTGCTTGCCACTGTCTCTTTGCTTTCTATGTCTGGTTCTCTTGATTCTTCTATTGTGCCATTTGGTGGGAAGTTTATTTAAAACAAATAAAAAGGTTTCATGTTATTCCCTAAACAGACAGAAGCCAGTACACGTCCTGGAAAACTGCAAGTTGTTGATCCCTTCAGGTTTACTTCATTAGTGAATGAAACAAACATTAATCATGAGGAGAAGGTGGACAGCAAGCGCGGGGTCACTTCAAACAAGTTGACATCCTCACCAGCGTCAGCAGTCACTGCTGAGGTACTGTGCTGTTCAAAGCCAAAATCCTTTTAAACGTTTGTGACACCTTCAGCTGAGTGATCTGAGGTTTCACTGTGTGCCAAGGGATCAAGTTATCAACTTTAACAGTCTAGTGACCTGCAATTATGTGTATCTGACCTATATACGCAGGATGTAGGCTCTCTGATTAATGCTTTGTGCCTACTAAAGTATTTACTTCTTTTTCTGCATATGCTATTTTTTCCCCATTATTTTGCTCTTGACAGAGCACTTGAGTTTAGTTGTGGGCAAGATCACTTAACAATTGAGTGGGTTTGATTACAAGAGCAGCACAGAAAACTGGGTTCTGCATTTCCTTAGCTGAGAATAAAAATGTTGGTATTGTGTATGTAACCAGAGAGAGGATTATTATCAGAAGTGCTGTATTAATGATGCTGTGAAACTGATTTAGGAGCTCTCTTCAGAATCAGACTGGACAGGTCTTGGCAATCAGGACACAGGGATCTTACTAAATGGTATGTTTAATGAGGAAGAATCTGCAAAGATTTTTCAGGAAGCTTTGATTCAATGGAGGAACTGTAATCGTGACCACAGACCAGAACAGCATACTGGTGAGGTTCTACCAGGTATGATTTCTTTGTTGTTGTTTGAACTGCAATTTTAAAAACATTAGTAGCCATTTGGATAAGTTAGCAGCTATCTTAAGTAGCAAGGATGGGTTTTCTGCCAGAACAATGAATGTTTATTCTTTCCTCTACGTTCTACTGTAAATTAGCAGCAACCTATTAAGTTTTATGGTTACCACCACTGCTGAAAATACTGTGCAATGACTGATTTTAAGATCTCATGCACCCTACTGAGATTATTTTTTAATTTACTTTTAGTAATAAGAAGTCAGGGAGCAGTTAGATGCACAATCGATCTAAACCTATATAAAACCAGTGTTTTCTGCAAATTCTGACAGCATGAATTCCTTCTGGCTGAGTCCAGTAAGTGGAAACAAGTTGTCAATTATGCTTCAAATGACTCAAATCTCCCTTTATCTTTTTGTAGAACAGGATTATCCTGACATCCTAAATGATAGAATTGAGCAAAAGCTTAGCTGGGCATAAACTACTGGCTTGATGTTCATTCAAAAATAACGTACCTAAATATTGAACTTATAAATGTAAATATCTGCATTTGTGCTGTTTTCTTTAATCATTCTAATAGAATCTGTGGAAAATCATGAGGTACAGACCAATCTTTCTGTTATGAAAGAACACGTCCAAATTCAGTTCAAGGAGAGTGGCCTGAGCTACATGGAGAAACTCTTGCTTAAGAAATACAAAAGGTATTGTGGAAGTGGCTGGTACTAGCAAAAGTAGTCAGAAATGCTTCATGGCATTAACAAAATTCCATTGGAACTTTGTGATGCTGGGGGATTGATTAGGATGTCTGTTTACTGGGTATGTAATTGTGCAATGTAGCCATTGTAGCCAGACTTGATGACTTCATATATCAGAATTACTGCAGAATATTTGAAGAGAGTCTTTGCTGTTAATTGGTTGCAGAATTTGAAGGCCAATGATGATATTTGGAAGCCTGATTTTTACTTCAGGAATTTTATACAGGAAAAAGTGTGCCCTTTAAGATAGTGCTGTAAATATAACAAACATTTGTTGAGTTCCTGCAGCATGAGGTTATCCCATCATTCATTGAACAGAAGTGGCTGCTTTTTAGCAGTAGTAAACAGTATGGATTTTTTTGGATGACATTAAAAAAAAAAGCTAACTTCTTAAAAGCCTGATTATAATTTCTTTTTTTGTTGGTGATGGTGGTTTGTTTTTCTTTTTTTTATCAGGACTTCTGCTGATGAAATGCCTTCTAGTCGCCTTACAGATTTAAGGACTGAGCGTAAACCGACTGCATTACACAAAGCTGTGACTGGAGGAGAGGAAGAAGGAAATGCTGGTCATACAGATGATTTAACAGGTGTAGTAGATTTGTCATTGAAATTAAATATTACATATTTGGGAGGTAGATACTTTTTAGTTATGGTTTTTGAAATATACGTTCTTAAACAGTTTCTGCCTGAAAAAAGCAAGCAACTAACTTAGAAAGTAATGTAGTAGTTTGTGTTTTTAGAAACGTATCACAGACATAAAAAAATAAAATGTGTTATATTAATTATATTTTGTAGTTGAGGAGGTGAGGAGATACTGGACATCTGTTTTTAGGGAGGAAGAACCCAAGAGTGGTACGGAAAGTGCGGAGTCATCTCTGAAAATTGAACTTCTTGATGATGTAAGTATGTGCTGAAGAACTTTGTAAGCCTTCACAGCCATCTTGTATGGTTTAAGCATTGACCTGTTGAAATCTTAAACTTGCAACGGCGTAGTAATTTATAATGAAAATATATGCACACATTGCATCTTCTGATCATCTTCATAAAAACATGGAAACTGCAGCTTTCACTTCACAGTAATTTTCTCCTGTGGTGTCTGTGGATCCTTAGTGTATAGGAATGACACAGAAATGAAGTCTGCAGGCATTTTGTCACTTTGGTTTGTGGTACTTAGACTTATATTCTATTGCTGAATATGTATTTTTTTTAATTAGTCTTACGACGTGGAGTTGGAAGAATCGTGTGACTTCTTGGTGTGTGAAGCTGAGGCTACAGGAATGAATAACCAGAGAAATATTGAACCGTTTGAAGAGTTTGGAAGGTGTGAGAAGAGATTATTTGTAAGAGGAAAGGAGTAATTTCTAATTTGATTCATGTTCACAAGTAACTGACAGAACTTATCCTTAATAATTAGAACTGATATCAAGTGAAATGCGCGATTTTTCTGACATCCCAAAGTGTAGTTGGTAGGATGTGATCTGTTTTGGTGTATTTTACTCCTGTAATCTTTCCTCTATTTCCAAGTGCTTCAGCAACTGCAGATCAGCAAAACACAATGCCAGACCTTTTGCCAAAGGAGACTGCAGCCATGGTGAAGTCGTCTTGTCACTCGACATTTGCGACTGATGCTCAAAATCGTTCACCTTCTGATGTAAATCTTGTTTCCTCTAAAGAAATCTTGCAAGGTAGATTTTCATAGCTTTCTTTTTTCTGTTATATACGTAAGTTTTATGTGCAGTTCTATCATTCTCATGATAGTCAGCTATTGATAATAGTAATTTTTTTAAAATTAACCATTTGTTGAGCTATGTATGTGCCATGAGCACAACTTGTGTGGTAGTTATCTCACTTCTGTGAGCTTTTATTTGAACAGTAGCTGCTCTAATGTGAGTTGTAAACTGGAAAGAAATCCATTGTTAAGCAGAATGTGATCTTACAAATCTGTTTCAGTGTACAGTATTAAACATGTGGCACGTGTCTTTTTATCCTTGCCCATTGCAAGAGGCTTGGAACTAAATGCTCTTTAAAGATCCCTCCCAATTCAAACCGTTCTATGATTCTTTTCATTAGGAAAAAATGCTTTTATATTGATTAGCTGAAGAAAAGTATGAATTATAATATTTGCTGTGTGAAAGATGGTCTCTGGTGTAAGTGTTCCAGTGCCTGTTGCATTCAGCATAGTCATGATGAATTCTTACACACATCAGTGGTTCCAAGGATCTTATTCTGTGTCTTAAGCGTATACAGAGTAGGGCACTTGATTAATTTTAAGAAATGTGTTGGTCTGTAAGGATCCTTTTTTTCTTAACCTTGCAAGTACCAAAGGCTTGCTCCAGCATTCAGGACCTAAAGTGTGTTCTGTTTGTACTTAATACAAGGAACTGTTTATTTGAGTCTTCAAATAGGAAGGAGGAGGATCGAGAGCTGACAAATGAGGTGCAGCTTATGCTTTTTTATAGTAAGTGCAGAAAACTTAATAGATTTCTTCATATCACCTTGTGTTAAATGCAGCAGATACAGTAAGTGTGCTTTAATACAAAATCAATAACGATTTTCCTTTTAATAATTCTTAATTTCAGGAGATGGGAGATGGGTTACTGACATGAGCTTAAGCAAGCATGCTGATGAGTCTGTAGTTCAGGCTGTCTTAGAAAGTCAAATGGGCAGATCTTCAAGTGGTCTCAAGACTCATAGAATTTCTCCTCTGGTAACATGCAGACCATGCTCAGGTAAGAATAATAATCTTGAGATCCTGCTTTAATAGGTTATTTTGCCTAGTATTTATTTTTAAGCACATTTGTAACCTTGTTTCTTTAAAGCAGAGAATGTGTTTTATGGATCTATTTGTTGTAGGCGCCCTGTCTGTGTTGAAAGATGTTGAACTGGGAAATGATTTTGGTTTTTTGTTCCTAATACAGAGTAAAAGAAGAAGAAACAACCACCAAAACATCAATATTACAAAAGTTTTGGAGTTTTGACAGGTATTTAAATGACAGGGATGGTTTCAGCTGCTTATAGGAGGACAATCAATACCTGACACTTACACAGCTTTCTTTTAGAAATGTTCCTGACATCCTTGGATTGCTTTAGATGAGTGGAACATATGCAGTCTTTGAGTCAATTTGACTTGTTCCAGCTAGGAAGCACAGAGTTTGAGATTTGTCTGTATGAGTAGTAACTGTTTAAATTATTGATTTATTATAATCCATTTAGATCAACTCGTAATTTAAACTACAGGTTACGTCGTTCATTATTTTTATCTTTATGAAATCTTCATTATCTTTATGAAATCTTGAGTTTGCTACAAGTTGTGATCTTGTGTGATTTCAGGGAATGATTCTATCAGACCTCGATCATCAGATGTGCTGCAACATAAACTGACCAGAGATTGTGCAAAATACACTCATCCAAGACCAGAGAGTTCACCTCTGCGTGCATTTAGAGCTAATACTGAGATATCAAAGCACAAGGATGTTGATGTAATTAAACAAGATGAGCATTGTTGGGAATATGCTGCTGACCAAGAAGCCTTACTCTGTCTGGAAAAAGAATTACAAACTTATAGAGGTAAGTGGTAATATTGCTTTTTCCCCTTAGAAGTAAGGTAATGAAAGCATTTCCTTACTTTTTGCCCTAGTATCAGTTAGATCTAATAATATGAAACCAATTAACTATGCAAGACTAGTTGAACTGTGATTTATTTCTATTTGATCATGCTTTAATCTACCCCTAATTTAGTAGAAGCAGCTGTTTCATGCAACTGTCTTAATTATTTTATTTATACTCTGCGATTTCACTGCAGGGATCTGCAGAATATGTGTATGGTATCAGATAAAGATTTGCTTTCAAATAAGTATCCTTTCCTTCAATATGTATCCTTACCTTCAAAATGGGCACCTTAACTGTTGTTAGAAGCTAGATTTGTGATACAAGGCTAGCAGGAAAGGGAAAAGATGGACAGAAAATTCTATGAACCTATCCTGATGAGAACTGCCAGTAATGAGGCACTATGGATCTGATATTGTCTCACTTTGGGTTTGACTAGAGCAACTTTGCTTTGTCTTTTTAAGACTGTCCCAGTCTTTATTTCCCCCTTTCATTCCACTTCCTTGGAATATTTTTCACATGTGTGGAAGCCTGTAGCAAAAATGTGTGACTAGCTGGAAAAATAATCTTGCATCTGTGTTATCTAACAACTCCAGGCTGTGGCACTGGCTGATTATCTCTTTGAATTAGTACTTGTTGTATATTCATTACTGTTTTAAGTACATTCTGCCATTATCAGTCTGCCTTTGCTGCTGTACACCAAGGTCTCCTACTGGACCTTACCTACAGTGTTTCTTATTGTGTTGGTGTAAGCAGCTCAGAACTGAACTCTCCATTATTTCTAATGATATAGGAGCCATATAATAAAAAGTCATAATTCACTTGAGGGCTTGTAATGGCATCCTTTACCAGCTACAATTAGTTAAGCATTAATGCTTTCGTTGATACTGTGAAACTCTTTAAAATTGGTAGTGTAAATAATGTGGGTTTTATTTTCTTGGTTATATTAGTCACTGAAATGACTGCAGATATTTCAGATCCTCAAGAAAAACTTTACAGCCTAACTTCTGAAGATGTAACCTCCTCCAGCAGACATTCAAGGAAGATATATGGAAGTGTTACAGATTTCCATAAAACTCTGGATCTAAAAGACTACAGCACAGCTGATATGCTTGGGTAAGCTAAATTCCTCAAGTATGTTTTTATGGTACTGTAAAAATTTTAATATGCCAAACATCTTCCCAGAACTGTAAAACAGTCTTAACTTTCTGATTTTACTTTGTATACTTATTACTAATGTCAGCATGACCTATTTTGTATCTTGTTTGTTTGTTTTTTAAGTTGGTAATTGCATCTCAGATTAAGAGTAAAGCAATGTTTTTTTGAGATCTCCAATTAGGAACGTTGAGATTTAAAAAATAAAAATAAAAATGCTTTGTTAATATGCAGCACTGATATTTAAAATGAATGTTACAAGTCATCTGAGCTCTCTGCTTGAAAGATTGCTTTAAAAGGAGTTGTGAGCAAGTGAGACAATTACGTTTGACTGACTGATTTGTGATGTATCATTCACGTTGCTTTGGAGACTGAGGAGGAAATTAGAAAAGAGGACATTCCCCAAAGTTCTGTTCTGCCATTGTTTTCTTATTATGATCTTGCACCAAATAATGGTGAGGCACTATATATTGTGTGAAGGTAGCTGACTTAGACTTTTGTGTTGATACTACTGAAATTACAGTGCACTAGAAATCTAAACTGTATTTGCAGTTGGTACAGTTGGTGTTAACAAGGCTCACTTTTCTAGCTCTACCATTCTGGATTGTGGGATTTCTTCACTAAGGCATACCAGTGATAAGGTTGTTTACCTCTTCTTTATTCATTTACATCTCCTAAATAAAATGTGATGAAAGCTGAGGGGTTGAAACTGAATAGAGTAGGTTTTGGTGTATGCAAAACATACAGCAAAAGCTATTTAATGCCTTTATTCCTGTGCATGAACGCATGTCCCTGAGGCTTTACACAGTTGCTAGAGGAACTTGAGCTGCTGAAAACCTCTGTGTTGTGTTTGTTTTAAGGGGCTGTGATGAAGACCAAATAGATGATGAGGAAGAAATTCTGGAGGATAAATGGCAGGTTCTTGCATTACAGTAAGCATGTGAGGAATGTAATGATTCTGTATCTTTGCACTTTGTATGAAAACAAAGAAGCAGATGAAGAGTAATTACTGAGTTCTGTTGATGTTATTTATTAAAGATTACTTTGTAAATTTGTAAATAAAAATGTTTAAAAATCACTCCACTTGGATTATTTTTCTTACTGTGGAAAAACAGGATAAAAGAAAACTGAAAAGACTTGTTGGGAGATGCCCTGCATTCTCAGGCACAGCAGCTCCCTTCAGCTTTCTTCACAGCGTGGTGGTGGTTTTTTCATTTGTTTTTGATGTATGTCTGAAATGTAGTGAAAGCTTTTTTGTTTGGTGCAATGCTTTTCTCCACTGTGGTTTTTATGATATTTTGAAGGTATCTTAATCTTTTCTCTGGTTTTGGTCACCAAAGAAGTGAAACTACCTAATTGCACTTATTAAAAGTTAGGACTTGGTGTCAAAAATGCAAGATTTCTCTCTGCTTGTGTTGGGAGACTTTGCAAGTGGGACTAACTGTAAGCTTTTGAATGATAATTGCTGTTATCACCTGACACAACTAAAATTAATGGAAATTTTTCACTGAAGCTTTTGTATAGAAACTTTATAACTTGGTTTATGTTTTTCCATCTGTTCCACTGTTGTAATGGTTTAAGTGGAGAGTTTGTATAAAATGTGGCTCTCTGAATCTGCTGTATGTGTATTTGATTGTTATTAACATTTCTATTTTTAATGAAGGGATTGTGTCCATTTCAGTCATTATTCATCACAGCATGATTAACTGATCAGTAAATAATGAAACCTGATATTAGATGTCTTGTAATGAGGATCGTGATTTTCATCACTACATTAACATATGCAGGTAGGTTTTACTAAGTTTGTTTTGCTCATAACATCGAATGTTTAAGGTGAGTCTTTGAGTGCTCATGCTGGAAACCTTGTGGATGTTTAGAGTGGCAAGTGACCTGCTTTAATGTAACAGAAGAAACATTCTGATGCATGAGGTGGTTTCTGGCAATTAAACATACACTTATTGGTGTCTTCCTTGCTGCTATTTAACTCTAAAGTGGTGTGCAGTTATTTTCTATCTGCCCCTCAGTTATGCACTGAACACTACATCAGTTTCTTTTACAGGAAGGAGTACTTGAGTGAGCCTAGCTCGTAAAGACTAGAGTGATTGGGCTGAGCAGACCATTGGTTTGACTTCCTGCTATGTTTCTTGTCTTTAAGGTGAGGGCGTATTTTTTCACTTTAGTTTCCTTTACAAAGTTTACCATATATCTATGTTTCATTACAGGAGCTCTTTGCCAGGTGCTCTAATAATAAAATCAGAAAGCATATTTTGTGCAGATTAAGTCCTATGCTGCTCTTTCATGAGTGCAACCTTTTGTTTCTGTTTGAGTTACCTTTCTGCTTGTTCCTGTTATGCTCATTTCCCTTGAACAGAGAGAGGCTGACTTCTTCCATGCTGTTCCCAACTCTTTTAACTAGGAAGCCAGTGAAGCATATGCTACTGTATTTCTGTGCTTCTACAGTCAGATTTTAATCCTTTGTGACTGTAAGAAATTAATAAGAAGACAGTGTGTTTAACATCTGGATTTACCAGCTGTGCCTTCCCATTCCTTTTATTTGAAAGAAATGGTTATGATAATACAGCTAACGAACTTTGGACTAAAACTTACTTCAAAGTGATAGTAGTCTCTCTAGTCAGTTATGCTGTAAGCATATTTGAGTTTTGTAATTTGAACTTTAGAGTATTTTAAGATGTCTTTGTATGTTTTTCTTCAAGACATATTGGTCATCCAGTTAGTCTATCAATCTTACCAAAAAGAATGCCTGAACTGTAGACAGTGACTTCAGTTAAATGTGTGGTTTTACACTACACAGATCTTATGAATTACTGTGGCAATTAATTTAGATTTTGCAGTCTACTTTGAAGTGCTCAGTACTTAAATATAAAATAGTTTCCATACTCGTGAGCACGTAGGTGAATCACCATTGACAGAAGTTCTGTTTACAAGTATTTGCAGGCTATCCCTAGAGCACTTTAGGTCTCTTTGCAGAGCACTGTGAATTGTATGCTTGCTGTTCATTTGCTCACTGCTGTGCTCAGATGGGAAATGCTCCATGCCTGTGTGCAGGGGCTCAACAAGTGCATGAAGAGAAGCAGGAAGGGAACTGCTCCTATCCTGATGTGTGCTGTTGCTATCTTAATTTAAAGAGAAAGTTACAAACAGCAAAACATCTCCTCTTGATTACCTATCTCCATGCTGATGCTTTATTTTAATTCAGATTCTGTTGTCTTATAATGTGAAAATCTGTGCTTTTGTAAATCACTCAGAATTTACAAGTCAAACGCTTTTGCGTGAATGACAACCAAGGGTTTGTGCCTGTGAGTATCACTGTGTGAAGTGGGCTATTTAAAGCAAAATCTATTTGTTTTAGGTAAAAGAGAAATAATCTGAATTTGAATGATATGTCAAAATGTCAACTGAGTTGTCAGCCGAGTGTGGCAGCTGTTCCATTCTTAGGCTCAATTTATATAGAAGATAATGGAGGAATGTTGTAGCATGCTTTGTTTTGTGTGAAAGTATTTTTATATTACAAATGACTTTTTCAGTAATTATCAGTAAACAGCTCAACTTTTATCAAAGTTTCTGTAAGAAAAAAAAAAAAATGCTGGTTCCAAAATGTGAATGTCTATCCTTTGTACACTGTTGAATGTCTAGCCCTGTTTCATCCTACATTCTTTAGTGCTTTCTTTTGATGTTCTTCAGCTGCTCCTGTTTCCTTTCATTCCAGGGGTGTTAATCAAGATGCAACATGTTGCAAAGTGAAGCAAGTAAACATCTGTGTGGAAGCATTCTCAATTCCTTCTCAGTTTTCTGTATCTTATATTATAGAGGGCATCTAGTACTTGTTCCTCAAACTCTGCATCTTGTCCTTATTCTTGTTTCTGTTTTTTTCCCACTCTCCATTATAGCTGGTAATGAATACATGGAGGCAGGAGAGAGAAGAGACAAGGAAAAGATGTTTGCTAGCACTGTGGAGTTGGCCTTTAATAGAAAGTTTGATATTTTGCCTGTGTGGTACAGGAAGAGAATGTTTAAGAAATACCTGCTTTCAGGGCTCCGCAACTGAAGTCTCCAGGTCTTTCCATCCACACTGAACCCAAGGAAAGGCTCTGGTTTTTGTTCTTCTCTGTAGACAGTCAGTGTCTTGGCCTCTGTTCCTCAGTAGGTTTTCTGGCTCCAGCCTTTGTGTTGTTCATCAGTGTTCCTCTTTGCTGGCAGCTCTTGGTGGGGATGTTGCTAGTGCCATCTAAATGCTTCAGGTAGGAATTTAGACTTAAAAATAATTGATTGCTACTCTTTTCTGTATATGATAATTGAGAACTAAAAGCTCCCACAAGATGCGTGCAGTGTGGCTCTTTTGGTACAAATTTGAACTTCAGAAGATGTGTAGATTTTCCTCAAATGAGGAAGTTGTATTTACCTTGATTTATGAGCAATATAGCATCAAATAAAACCCAATTAAAATCAGCATGGGTTCAGATATTTTTCTTTTAGAAGATGAAGAGAGTAGGCAAAAGAAGATGAGAGAGTAAAATGGCATGAAAGTGTACAGTATGCTTACGTGGCTATGGAGATAAGGCATTATTTCATGTTTTGATATGGGGGAACTAGTACTAATATAACAAGCTTGCCAATAAGAACAGCAGCAACGTGTTTATGTGTGCTAAGTACGTGCATAGAAGCAGTCTGAATGATCTAATAGAGGCAGAGAATTCCACAGAGTTTATGGAATATATAGCAGCTTTAGTGTTCTGATTTTGGTCATATTCTGTTATACTTACCTCATTTAATCCATCTGGAATCGTGGCTTAAAAGCTGTATTTGTAGTAAAGTGGGTACCCCCATGTCTGTACTGAAGTGTTTCTAGGTACGTTATGTTGCAAGTCATGAGCCTTCTGTAGGGTTTGCTGTGCTCAACTGACCTTTCTGGCACAGCTCTGTTCTCTTTAGCAATCCTTATGTTTTGAAACAAGTCAATAAATTGAGCAGTAACAAATCACCAGGACCATATGGGCTTCACCCAATACTTCTAAGGGAACTAAAATGTGAAAATCTCAGATTATGCAAGAAGTGTGGTATGGAGAAGAAGGCAAATAAGCAAGAAATAAGGCAACTAAGTACTGTCTGTGGGTGGGAAAGGACCTTAGAGGCATGGGTGGGGTTTTCATTTGCTGGTGGGAAATGTTGTAGTTCCTTGAGAATGTTAGCTGAATGGCAGTCAGGCTACTGTGTCTGTAACTCATAAAGATGTTTTATATGATAGTATTCAGCATAATTGGCACTGTAGATGTAATGATAGCTGTGTTTGAAATTCAAGGTATGCTGGGCGTGCTGACTCGGTGTATCCACAGCCCAAAGCCTGCAAAATGAAGAGCAAAAGGAAGGAAATCAAAATCGGTGCAAACCTCATCTTAGAACAACAGAGTCCTGAGAATGGTGTTATGTAAGTTATGTTGCATAACGTGCTGAATTGTGTTAAATAGATCTAGATGTAGCATCTTTTGAATTGATCATGAAAGAGGTAGGTGAGATATTTAGGTAAAGATTGTACCCCTTTTGTTTGATTGCTGTTGCTCGATACTGCTCTAAAATACTGTACAATCATACAAGCTGTTTCTTCTGTCTATGGAGAAGGATTAGGAAAGGATAATAGCTAATTACCACCCCTTTACCAGTATGAGATGCATGGAGGAAAATTAAAGCAGTCAGTGAAGAAAACAGAGACTAAAGTAGCAATGTTTCTGTGTAAGTTGAGCCCAAAGTTGGGCCTTCAAGCTCCGCTATTTGATCCAAAGTCAGTCACAGCACTTCAGGTACTAGAATAAGTGAAACATCCACTGGCTGAGGCAATATTGCCTGATGTATGATGGACACTAGTGACATCAGTACCTTAAAATCCTTGACTACATCCTTGACTTTATTTCATGGCAATGCAGCGCTTTGTGAATACTGTGAATCGGCTGCACTGAGCCATACTGACATATGGCCAGATGGATCCCGCAGGGCTTTCAGATATGAGGGGAATACTGGACAGCAGTGGCAGACAGCTGTACAAGGAAGAGCTTTTTCATTCCTTGCCACATCAAGGACTCCAAGAGCTGCCCTTGCTGCAATAGGAAATGCGGAGATACCCAAAACAAGGAGATTTGATAAGAGCTATCGCTCTGTGGAATCCTCACAGCATAGTTCATCCAAAAACAAAACTTTACCTGACTTGATACTTAATTTTTGCTTTCCTTGTCTGAGAAAATTATTAAAATGAGTTATATCTTGTGACAAACTTTGGGATGCTTAAGGCAACACTCAAATTTTTAATATTTTAGTTGCGGTATATCTCTAATACGAAAAAGGACTCCTTCCTTTCCAAACTGCGATCGTTTTGTGCACTTGCTGATATCAGAAATACCTGTGCTTTTGCTGAGCTACCTCTACTGATAGTGATGTTATTTGGTTTCAGTTCAAGCTTGCTGCAGTCAGTTGTTATTGCTTAAGGGCTTGAAGGGGATGATTATTTAAGTCAGGGAACAGTTTAACATAGGTAGAATATGAGGATGTTTCTAAGGAAGGAGATAAAGGAATCAGTTTTAATACTTGCTGCACACAGCAGCAAGTTCTT